GCACTGCCGCTGGCGTACGCTGGAAGCGCTACGCTACGCTGCCGCAAAGTATAAACGCAGCCTTAGGGAGACAGGCGGTTTACAGTACCCGAAAGAGGAAGCTCCTAGGTGAGGCTAGGAAGTGAGAGTGGCGCTAGTACCGCTCTTCACCCTTAGCCGCGTGCTACCTAAAGCCTTAGCCGCATGCCAGCCGGAACCCCAGGGGTACTGTGTACACTCGCAGCTCCTATGCACTTGAGTTTGGGCTCGACAAATTTGAAGCATTCCCTGTGCCGTGTAGACAATACTTAAGCGCTGTTTCTTTCAACAGGCATGATTTCCTTCGTTGGTTGTGGGCTACATTGCTTTGCTCTTAATACATCCCTTCGGTTTTTTACTCACTATAGATTGGTTCTCTTTTGCCAATACTGGTCATACAGTAGTTCGTCTAACATGCGATTCGATCGCTTAGACGTGGAGCACTATTTCTCGCCATGTACTAGTACTATACTAGCGCGATGCCATGTCGATTTCACGCTATGCGACCGCTGATGATATGAAAGATTAGAGGAAGAGGATAGGGCATTCTCTATAGCTGCAAGGCAGAGATGGGTTTCTGATTTATCTGATCCCGGGGTCTGCCAAGGGACTATATTTCAAAGATTTGTTTGATTTTTTTATAAAGTCATGATTTTTGTAGTCTAATGCTTTTGCAGGAATGGACAATTTGAAGCGTAAAGTAAGCGCCCTAGGCTTGCATCACAAAATTCAGCGGCGTCGGAAGAATTCTATAGATCCGGAAGATGTGAGTTTTAAATTTTTACGGCATCTTTAGTATTAGGTTGGAGCATAGGTTTCTGACAATTTTTTGAGCTTTTTCCGAACCTGCGGGCCTAGAACTTCTCGGAAGACGCGTTCGGACCTTATCGCTTTACAAATACTCCTGAACTGCAGTGTAATCGATGCATCTTAGAACATATGCATATCCTTCGGTGAGGGAACGCTTGCAAAACAGCCATGGGTTGATTCCAGTAGTTTAAAACTAGCAGATTCTACATTTATAAAGACGACCGTAATAGTCGACTAGTGATGGTTTGCCGTCTCTCAGAGGGAAAGATTCTGAGCAGAACCCCGACGCAGTGTGCGTGATTTTGCAGTTCGTATTGAATATCATTACTTGGGAGAGTTTTAAACCTGGAGCATAAGATAAAAGGACAAAGGGTAGGTCTTCGCCGTCGATCATTCTCCTTTCGGGAGAAGGCTTGCCGGTTTGGGCAGGAGCCGATTCGTGTTTTGAGCCCCGTAGGTGTAGTAAGCGTGCAAGTTGCTGCTACCTTAGCACCGCGCCGGAACATAGATGCCGTTCACCAGGCAGTATTCAAGCCGATAAGTGCACGCAACTTTTGAGCGGTTGCTTACGAGGCAGCAGGATCAAGTCACCGCACGTGAGAACTGTGTCCATTATAATATCCACACCCGCAAACGCTAGAGGCTTAGTCCACGTAAATCAGATATACAGTGCCAGAACTAGGGCTACCCAAAAATGCTATCGCATTGCCCCTGAGCCTCGAACCCGGCCTTCACGCTTTCGTAGGCCGAACGTGTTCTCCATTAAGCTACCAGGGCATTCTCTCCGTCTAATTTGCTTTCTTCATATTAGCCGTAGCGTTTCCTCTTCATGTGATCCTGTTAACTGCTGGTGAGAAGCCTGCTACCATGCCAGCTTCTGCTAGATATGCTTTTCTAATTTAGCAGACTCAAATTATATACACTCCTATAGATCAAGCAAACCGTGGCAATATTTCGCCACTACTACTCCGGAAATCTCAAAAAAAATGTTTTTTTTCGGTGTAACTCGTTATTCAAGTGTCCTGGTCACGAAGAGAACATGCACTTTGCGACTAGGCTCCCGTTTGGCGGCCGCCACATCTCTCACAAAATCATGAGAAACTTTCCGGGCATATTACGGGATTTATTTGACATCCTGACCGAGAATGTAACATCCGTTTTTGTCGCTAGCGCCATTTCGCGCCAAATGGCGCCGATTTGGCGCGACCATTTTTATCACTGAATTCGATGAAAACCTGCTCAATAGGTTAGCATACCCTGATCACAGAAATGACATTTATTTTTCGACAACAGCGCAATCTAGCGCTCTGCTAAGATTGAGCCTAGGAGGTGGAATGATTCTCTTCTTGTCATGCTCAGCCTCAGCGCTTAGCAGAACGCAGGTGATCAGATTGCCCTACACTGGCGCCGTTCCCAAGAATGAATCTCAAACTCGTGATCAGGATGTCAAATAACCACCGTCTACAGGTTTTCGTCGATTCTGGTAAGAAAGGTGATGGCGCCAGCGTCGAAAACGAGCGTCATGTTCGTGATCAATGCACTGAATAACCTCTGTGGTCAAAGTTTCAGCGAACTTTTTTGATTTTTGGTGTTATTTGTGAGATAATAACCCTACGTAATATTGTTTGGAATATTTCAGGTTGAGCTGCAGACAATACGTGAAGAAAAATTCAGTGACGGAGACGCTAATCTACGACTAGATGAGATCTCCGAATCGCCACATTTTTCAAATAGAGTGGTGGTGGAGGTGCCCTTCAACATGGAAAGCAATGGTAAAGATGATCACCACGCGAAGCACCACAGGCATATCAACGACGAAGAAAAGAAAGAAGATCGATGTCGAAATGGGACAACTGAGAAAGAAAAGGACCACCTGGATTCACCAATTGTAGAGAGGCCAGAACAGCTCTGTGGAGAGCAACGTTTTTCGTCGTCCGATGACTCGGGTACGTATACGGTTGGCGGATTACGGCATATGGATAGTGGGAGCAGTACACAGAGAAGTTTCGATTATTAATGTCATCATAGTGGCTTTTGAAGGCCGTTAGGAGTTGCCCTGCAGGAATATTGTTTACTTGGTTGGTGTAAGATTGCCATTACGAGTTTGTAAACAATGTAGTGAATGCCCTTGAAGTTCTTTTGTCCTTGAAGGTTATCTCTGCGATGTAGCTATTTATTCCTGGTTTCAGTGAGGTTATTAAGCAGATCTTGGCGTAGCTGGTTGTTACAAGTAGGAATGCTGTGGTCGGACCCTGCTATATTACTGAACACAGCCTTAGGTAACGCTGTGAAACGTTGAGAAAAATCCTCAGATTTTTACGTGCAGTTGTATTTTTCTGTTAGGTATTAGTGCTGCCTCTCAGTTGCGGGATAGCAGTGCCGGATAGCTCAAAAAGTCTTTCATGTATGCAATTCTGGCCTCATGTCGATGTTGTTTTTCTTCGGCTTAGAATACTCTCATGTATTATTTTTTGTGACCGCAAATTTTATGGATATTAGAGAAGTAATTGATTGTAGTCATAATTAGCATCTAATTTGAGTTTGTCCGTGCCAAAAATTCGAACTTGAAAGACTTCAGGGTCGTTGTGAGCCGTACAATCGAGGAATCCTTGATTCCGGTAACCAGAAATTAAATTATTCATTGTGATAGTGGTATTATTCCAGAGACTTGTTTATGTATTGAAACTTTTATTTATGGAAGTTTTGCTGCGCCTTTTGAATAAATTATCTTCCAACTTTATTCTTCATGTAACCTCGCCTTGTTGTACTTACAAGGGAGGTCGTTCAGGGCGTGGTGCGCTTTTCGAAAACGGTTTTTTGCATATTGTAGGGGCTCATGCAAGGACCTGAAAAGTGTGCTTCATTTTCGCTGCGCGCTTCCAGGAAAGGTAAAAAACGAGTGAAAAGAAATCTTTGGAATCTGCTTCGTTCTGGGCCTCTATGCGGCGTAGGTCACTTGCAACTTTGACCAGTTGCTGAGTGGGGGGTCCTTATAAAGGGGCTATTTGAATCGAAGCGAAAAATCGCCGCAAGTGAGCTTCCAACTTGGGTCACGTGCTCAAGGGTGAACGGCTTCTTGCAATGGTTTCATCAACGATTAGAGCGTGGCACCGGCAAGCGACCGGATGGCCTAGCGGATAGAGTGGAGGATTCGCAATCGGACAGTGACTGTTTAACTGGCGCCAAATTGCGTGGACGCCAAGAATAGGTGTTATATTTGTGATCAGGGCCACTGATTACCACTAAAAACGAATTTTCGGTCAAAACAATTGTTTTGACCTTCTTGGGTTTGCTTATTGGGTTGTCCGGGGTCCGTAGCGTCAACGATACGTCATCGCTGTTACGAAGATGTGAGACTCCGCTCACACTGCCGACCAAATGGTCGGTCACCTACAACCCGAAAAAGTCAAAATTTTTTTGCTCAAAACTTGCTCCTAGGGGTAATCGATAGTCCTGATCACGATTCTAGAATTTATTTTTGGCGCCAGTGCCATCTGGCACCAGCATAGCGCCGAAGAGCTGAGTCTGTGAATACTAACGAATTCGAACGAAAAAGCAGTTTTGCTCCATAAAAGTAGGATTGTTCAGTTTATCGTGAATGTTTTTGTTAGGACCAATTATTTAGACAAACATGGATCCAAAAAATGAAAAATTGTAGAAAAGCAAAATTTTGTCCTCGGTGGGATCCGAACCATCGACCTATTTTTTACGTTTTTTTTATTCGTGGAAGCGCGCAGCGAGGCCGGCAGCGAAAGACTGAACCCAGTTTTCTGGTCCTCGTATGTGCCTTACAATATGCACAAACAGTTCTTGAAGAAAGGCTCACACGTCCGATGAAGGACCTCCTTGTATATACTACTCGACAGTCAGGCCGTAATGCCGCTATCGCGGGGATATGAGCCAGCAGCCCGTCCAGCCCCACTATTTTGCGACTCCCTTTCACTGCAATGAAATTTTCCTACTTATGTGACGCTGTTCTTCTGAATAGCGTGGACTATAACTCCGAACGTACGACTTCCTTTATTCAAGTTGGAGGAATTTCGACACTAACCATAAGATCCCTCGTTGTGTGTTTCATGAACACCGAATATTCACAAACTTTAGTTGTAACTCACAGTGATACCACGCCTATCAGAAGGACATGGGGTACGTGACACGCATGGTCGCCGTCAGCTCTGAAGCGTAGCTTAGGGCCTCGAGGACGCTGGGGTCCATCCGGCATCGTCAGAATGCATCTGAAACTCCTCTCCAATGTTACCATCTCTTCCGATCGACGTTCGTCGCGACATTCCTGAACAGCCACGTCGTCACAATCCTTAGCGCTGATTTATCCGAATTCGCGTGATCCCCTGTTGAAGCCGTAACGGCACACTTACACGATATCCGATTTTCGGAGGTGTCCTCGCATCGTTACCAGTCCATGTCTCATTACAAAAGGGGCAGAAGGAATGTAGATAGCTTGCTTTCGAAGTCAGAGTGTGGCAGAAACTACTTAGCGCACTCATTAGTCTGATTCCGTCCGCCTACAGTATCAATTAGTCGGAGAAGGTTGTAAGTGTGGGCTGATATTTTCAACGCCTTTCTGCTGTCGACGGGTACAGTATGCTGCCGGCGAACCTTGTTGAGCCACGTGAAAAGGGTTCTTTCATATAGGGCGATGATCGACGGAACGATGTTCCTACCCAATTTGACCACTTTTGTACAAACTAGCGGAAATGGCTTTTCATTCATCAGATTGCAATAAAATGTGAGCATGAGTACACTCCATATCACGGAACTGGAGGGCGTGGCTGCGTACTCCATTTGGACGTGGTTGCGGTCGCGCTTTTGGTGGGTTATTGCTAGGTCATGATAACCGTAGTTATGCTCTTGTGCAGCACGAAGAGGAAGAAAGTTGTCTGAGGTGAGAATATTCTACGAGATGCGCATCCTACGTCGTGTTTAAATGAAGTGCGCAGCCACGCCTTCCCCAGTTTACAGATTTGAGAGTAAGGTTATTCATAGCTTGTGTGTTCCATGCACAACTATTCAAAAGGTACGTGCGGAGTGCCGACCAGTCCGCCAGCGATCAAGGCTGCGAGCAGAGTGAACAACGCTCCAACTACGGCGAGCCAGTATGAGTAGCCCAAATGAACGTTGGCGATCAGTTCATAGGAGATTGACGTCATATAAGCTGAAATATACTATAAAGTTCCTAGTCTAAAGATGCCCTGGGCAGTAATACTCACCGACTTTGCTTTTATAACGAACTCCGAATACCAGGATTGCTATGAATAGACAGAGAAAGGCAAATGCACAGATTCCGGCAGTTGGAACGCCCATTCGAAGGCGGTCGGAGAACAACGCGAAGAAACATCCTTAATTTTGATAAAGTGATATGACCTACAGTCGTGTTCGCCGCGGATGATGGGGCGTGTCATGGAGGATGGGTCTGGCGCAGCGCCAACCAGTTTCTTTTTCTTTCAGCAAGTGCAAACACTATCAGATTATTCTTACCAGTTTTCCGCCAACTGTTTGTCGTTGTCGCTTACCCGCTTCAACATCCGGGGAGAAAGGACTGGCGGCGCGCCAGACCCCGCCTTACTGACACGCCCCATGTTCCGTAGCGAACGAGACTGCAGCGGGCTTGAGACTAGCAAATGGTAAGTGTTCGGTGGCTCTTTTGCTCTGGCTTGCTTTTGCTCTTTTGCTCAATGTGATCGATATCGATACCGTACCTATGGCAATAAACTGCATAATACAGGCGACAATGACGAGACCAAGTGTGACTTTCTCGTGTGAGGCCTTCGACTGAAATTTCGAAATAAGATTTTACCACTAATAGGATCCCTAGTAAAGTCAAGATGAGTACGTGAAAGCAGTTTCATTGTTGACTAAAAAACGATGCCATGAATGCGATATCAGCTGGGTTACAGAGTGCCCATGCGTGAGATCCCAGTCGCAATCTTGCGGTCTCCAGTCGGCCGCCGGCAGTGTGAGACCGAGACCGAAGTCTGGAGCGCCTTTCACCACTGAAAGAAAGGTCAGGAATAGGGTGTCCCATGCTTTTTCATACATATTGAATCTCCGAGTGCTTTTGTCCAAGAAGTTGGTCTCGGGAGTACACTTAAATTGTCATGTCATTCTCCATACAGGGGGGGGAAACGGTTTTCGCACATGTGTCCTGCACTGCACCGTTACTGGAGACGGCTTAGAGATATCGCAACTTGCTTGATCGGCGCGCGATCGGCCCTATGTCTAGGCCGCCGCTCTCACACGTATTTCAAGCAGCCACCCAAGACCTGGTACCCCAGCTAAACGAAACACGGATGTTTGGCCACTCCCCTAACAAGACGGCTTTTCAGCCGATGACCAAGGCATATACATTACGGCGATAACTATACAAGTCCATAAGACGGTGGCAGGGCAACCATTCATGTGGGCATGGGCAAAACTGTCAGAGATATTGCCTGTATGAAAGCAATAGCCACCATGATTGTGAGTTCGTTTATGTGGCGAGGTCTGAAATCCTGCCATTCAGATATTTTATGCGTCTGGGGTCACCTGCCTGAATCAACGTCTAGAAGCGGGCGCGATTCGGCGACGGAGAGGAGGGGCATTTTGCACTTTTGCTACTTCCCATCGACGTGTCGACCCATCTAGACAGCCTTTTCTTGAGTTGACAGGTTTTACCATGATGGCTTGACGAGCTTGCTCCAGCTTCACAAGAGTTCACAGGTTTCACCAGAGTGCATGTGAACCGGAGCAGCAAAACTGCAAAATGGCCCTCCCCGTCGCCGAACTGCGCCCTAGAAGCGTAATATTGCTGATTTTCGCATCGACTTGCATCTAAAACTAACCCTGCAGTCTAGGTGTTATCTATCATCGCTACCCCTTTGTAGGCCCCTTGCTAAGGAAATGGAGCGGCTGGCGTATTCAGGAAAAGGAATGGATCATTCGGGATGTCTTATTTTTGTGAATTCTTTTAAGGCTTGTTCGGTGCGGACGCTGGGGCGTGTCTGGAGGGTCGCTCGCTCGCTTTAACAAGAGAACGAAGAGCTGCGCCGGAGCTATTCCCCAGATACGCCTCTTTATCCACAGCAAATAGGACGTAAAACATATTTTCTGTGTGACCTACTCACCGAATAGCTCCTCCATCCAGGTGTGAACAGTGCGACCAGGGTAAAAATGAAAGCGAGTACAATGACAGCACCAAATCCCAATCGCAGTGACTTCATTTATAGTGGTTACAACAGAACAGTAAGCGATGATGAGCTCTGCAACATTCGTCTCAAGGAAGCCACTCAAAATTCCGTCCCCCCACAAGTTCCAAAAACGAACAGCAACTAGTTTAATAGAGACACTAATGACTTCAATAGAAAAATGAGGACATGAAAGTTTTGAGTTCTACATACTCTGTACTCTGCGTCTTCACAGGGACAGATTTAATGTGAGATGATCTCGATTCGAATCAGTCTGAAGGCGGCTAATGAACCCTGCGAGTTCTGACAGTAATCGTTCAGGTTGTTAGGTGGAATCTCTCACGGGTATCAGCCTGATGCTTTGTCTAGATCGTCTTCCAAAGGAGCCCTAACCGAACTGGTAAGTTGACAGCCCTCTTCGGGACTTCCGGCTGTTGTCCTCATATTATGAGGAAACGCTAGGAAGTGGGGGCGTCAGGGAACCTTGAGCCGTGTTTAGTCCTCTGAAGATGAAGATTCAGTCGAAACCTAAGACTGGTACCAAAGAAAGGTTCACGTAACATCCTCGTTGGCACAGTAGAATGAAAACTGTCAAAGTTTGTAACAGCTCTGAGGTTTCACGAAGAAAGAAGTTGCGTACTGTGGAATAACGAACCTCGCGAACCTCCTAGCTTTATTAGGAGAAAGGGGTGGAGCACAATAATATAGGCTTTCCAAGGTATTGTCAAGGAAGCATTGCTGAGGCGTAAGCCACATAATACTGCTCTGACGTCTTATGTCTGAGCTTAAGAGTCACATTGTCGAATAGCTCAAATTTTGTTGCGATACTGAATGTCAAATCTGTACTTTCTGACACACGTTCTACAGGAAAAGGTGGAACGGCAAAGGGCCTCCACTCACAATTCTGAAAGTTTTTTTTGGCAAGGAAGGAGGAAGTTATTGAATATTCACGATTTTTACTTTGAACATCGATTCCAAGCCGCATATCTTCAGAACCCGTTGAAGCGATGTGCCTGGGAACCCAGATGGATTTTAGGCTCTCGAAGGTCAACTCTATGTACTTGCAAGGTTGATTGATGAAAAATGATTTATAAAGTGTTCTTTGAGTAGCTGGACAGCTGATTATTCCAGAATCCGAGACGGTCATCAGGAATCAGCACATTAGTGATCTAACCACTT